AAAATCTACTGTTTTAGGGTTTAGGGTTTAGGGTTTAGGGCTGTAACCTATCTTTATATGTAATATAATGTGTAATTTAACCCTAAGGGTCCAATTGCCCATGATTTAAGGACTTTGGGGAACCATAAATAAGGATTGCTTGGACCCTTAGGGTAATAGTCTATGCCCCGTAAACTGCAGGAGGCTTGAAAGACTAGGACTTAAGGAGCGCCCGAGGTCCAAGAGCCACGATAGATAAGGTAGGTTTAGGGTTTAGGGTTTAGGGTTTAGGGTTTAGGGTTTAGGGTTTAGGGTTTAGGGTTTAGGGTTTAGGGTTTAAGGTTTAAGCATATAAAACAGTATATACGAACGTATCTTGGAACTCGGAGAAGCACCAGTGTTACTACTGTTGATGACAGAAACTCTGCATTACCCTAAGGACGCTACAAACTATGGGATTTATGGTAGATTCCTTATTATTATGGGTACTGCAGGATTTATATCATCAACCGTATCATGCGCCCAAAAAAACAAATTAAATGAGGTTTAGGGTTCAGGGTTTTAGGGTTTAGGGTTCAGGGTTTAGGGTTTCTTGCCCTAGGCACCAAGTAGCTATCTAGTGTATACGCAAGCCTCATTAATTAAGAACCCCGCTTTAGACCCAAGTATATACCCTAAACCGATGCTTTCTGGGCACATGGATCTTTTTGGAGACTGCTCACCCGAGCGACCTCGAAGGTACAAGTGGCCGGCGCAGGCTCCGTTGGCAACCTCACTTGCAGTCTAGCCCTAAACCCTAAACCCTATAAGCCCCAAGCCCTAAAAAGAACCCTAAACGCTAAACCCTAAAAATTGAACCCTACAAGCCCTAAGCCCTAATCCCTATACCCCAAACCCTATAAGCCCCAAACCCTAAGCCCTAAACCCTATAAGCCCTATAGGCCCTAGGCCCTAAACCCTACAAGGCTCGAGTGACTCCTCCGTTGAGGCTTCCGGGCCCAAAGAGCAGACTAAACAAGGCCTCTTGGGCTATCTTGAGCCTTAAGGTTAGGGTTTAGGGTTTAGGGCTTAGGGTGTAGGGTTTAGGGTTTAGGGTTTAGGTGGGCTATTTTGAGCCTTAAGGTTAGGGTTTAGGTTTAGGGTGTAGGTGGGCTATTTTGAGCCTTAAGGTTAAGGCTCTGAGTGTAGACCTTCGGCTTGGGTTTAAGGCTTAGCAAAGCGCCCAAAAGTTGGTAAATCATGACCCAACACCAACCAAAACCGTGATTCCACATGAACTGTTTGCATAAACTGATGTCTCGACACCGTGAAAGGGCTGCTATTCCGCATACTTTGCGGTCCAGATAGGGTTGATGGTTTGGGTTCAAGGGTGGACGAAATTGGGTCAGGCTTGATGCAGTTGTGGAGGCCTGCGTGAAGCATTACAGCAGGTTGGTACAAGTAGCTTTCCTTACAAGGATTCGTGTAAAGGGTTCCGGTAATGTTCCACAGGGGATTTAGGGGTTTAGGGGCTTTTGTCATTACAATAGTGTTTTGGTGTATATGATACTAGAGTGATCATGGAATAGCATTGATAATTATTCAGGCTTCTATTGCAATTGCGGTCACCCTTTAATTCGAAAGCCTTAAGTTGCATAAGGTCTGAGCGGTTTGGGCCTTGCCTGGCCCCTTGAGGACTTATCAAAGGAACGCCCGAAAAGCTCTAAACCCTAAACCCCAACAGGCGGGGTTTAGGGTTTCGGGTGTGGAATTTCCTGGGACCCCACTGCCATCCCAAACTCCCAGTGAAACCTTCGACACTACTCAGGATCATGAAAGATAGCAAGTAAGAATAGCCGTAGCTTCATTGAGTTATAAGTAATTGCAAGTGTAGGTGCTTTACTTTATAGGCTTAGCTGGGCCTAGCTAATAAGTGCCAAGATCCTTTGAGGAAATCCTCAACCGCTCACCAAGGCACAAATCGCAAAAGGCAACCAGGTTCCCCAAGTCGTCCACAGCCTTAGCTTCTGTCTGCAAAATATAGAGGATTAATCCTAGGACTATTAGTACATATTAGTACTGTTGGCACAATAAGTAATACTAGCATTTATACTTGTAATACTAGTATGATGAGAAGTGTTACGAGCATTAATATTGGCATTGTTACTCGAGTCAGTATTGTTAGTATGATTATTCGTATTTATTGTAATTCGGATTATTGGCGTTCTCATTGTGGTATCCTTTTTGCTGGTATCCTTTTAGTTATGCACATGGATACTTCATTGAGTAGCGTAGCAAGTTATAAGTAGCCGCTGAAATAGGATAACGCCACTTAGAGCACTTGTAAGTACCTATATCTCTACCCTTGTAGATGGTATTGACAGATCGACAACGGCAGCAACAATTTAAGGTTCCTGTTGATGGACTAGGGTTTATCGCTCTGTCTGTTCTTTGTAGAAGCTTGCTGTTGGGCTGCTAAACTGGGTCGAAATGGTAGCTTGTTGTATGCGGGCTGCCAAAACGACTCACAGTAAAATAGAATAAAAGAGATACGGCTAAAGAGAGACAGGGAGAGAGAGAGACTCGTACTACAAGTGTTTTGTTAGTTATGTTCTTTGTTGCCACGAAACATCACGGGGCATGAGAACAGGAGTTCGGGATTTAAGCGAAGAGCTCACACTGCGGGCTTGCAAGATGTTCTCCCCGACGCGAAGCTCTAAATGCACCTACCTCCTAACGTGCGAAAAATCTGCCGGGTTTAAGTTTAGGGCCTGGGTTTAGGGTCTAGGAACATTCGAGGTTTGGCTGGAGAAGGTAGTCCTTCTACTGCTTCGCATGCCTTGTCCCCTCCACGAGAACTCTTGTTAGATTTCAGGGTTCCTGTCAAGCGGACTTCCTCCAAAGGTTCTGTATGCGGTTTATCTCTTTAGGATATCAGGGCTCTGATGTAGGTCTGTTTCGGGGATTCTTGCATTTTACTGTGGGGGCCTAGGTCGAACATTGGAGCTGTAAAAGAGTGCTCCGTTGACAGTGAGAACAAAGCCTGGCACAAGTAGCCCTGAAGCAGAGCGCTTTCTGTAGCTAGAGAGCACTGCCTAGCCTCGTACAGGGATTGCCTTCAGATTACCATTGCAATCGCTTTAGGAGCTACGAAACAGCTGGAAAACACTCACAACTGGCCCCAAACCTAAACCCTAAACCCAAAACCCTAAACCCTAAATCCTTTCACCGTGCCAAACCCCAAACCCGAAGCAATTATGGACAGCAGAGCCTGGCGGCATAGAGGTGTGAAATCCAGTGCACCAAGGTCTTGTCATCTGAGGGCTCCATTGGGTGCACTAAGCCGCCCTCGTTTCCTTCACGCGGTGAAGCGCACCAATGCAAGACGTTGGCCTAGCAGTCAAAGCCAGAAGTATGAACCCTAAGATAGGGGCCTTCATACTTAGCGAAGGGCTTTTAGGGCCCACTATACTGAAATTCTACTAAGGACCCCCAAAGTAGTGTAGGCAATTATTGCGGCCTCCCAAGCCCTGAACTCCAACGACTCGCACCAGGCTTGAGAAACTTACGTTACCCATATAAACCCCCTATGAAAAGCACATAGCACTGCTATACCCCTCAGGGTCCATGTACCCAAACAGGGACTACTTCAAGGCCAAAGTATATACTGTTTAGGTACATGGACCCTTAGGTACTAGCGGCTACACATGCTCTAGCCGAGCTCTGCATCTAAGTATGGGAACCCTGATTGTTGGAATAGGATGCTTGTGAATTTTACAGAAGAAGTACAGTCGTGTTTGTACAGGGACAGTAGTCTAAAATGATTCCGGCCTTTCTGTATTAAGGCCAATTGCCCTAAATCACTTACTCCAGGGCTCCGGGAGTTGCACCGATGCCGACCACAATCGTGGCTGTGGTGCCGTTGAGCATCAGGTATGGGGTATGCTTGCCTCCACACGCTTTGGGGTTTGGGGTTTCAGGTTGTTTGAGGTTCACTTCTTTGGCTATGCAGTAGTCTTGTCTTCGAAAATGCTTGGGACCGCATTAAAGTTTGACATAAAGTAGTGGGTTTGGGCTTAGGGTTTGATTAGGTATGGGGTTTAGGGTTTCGGGCTTGGGGTTTAGGGTTTGATTGTGTATGGGGTATGCTTGCACTCAAGGCGCAAGGTAAATGTTACCGCAATGGTTCCACACATGTGCTGAGTATGCTTGCTTACGATTTTCAGCTTCGCACGTAGAATTTGCAACACCTGTCCATTATTCAAGCCCCATAAAACTCTCATCATGCATCATGAAACACGTAAACGCTTTAAAGCCTCGGTTTGCTGCATCGGGTGCGTGAACGTGCACCTGGAGACCCAACTTAGTCTGCTAGCTCAGAAGATGTACCTCATATTGAATGCCCACAATATAATTGGGGTTTAGGGTTTAGGGTTTAGGGTTTAGGGTTTAGGGTTTAGGGAATTTCTGGGGCCGGCCTAAAGCCTAAATCCTAAATGTCGGGTTTGGGGTTCCAGGTCAGGTTTCATCCAAACCCCAGACACCCCGTTCTCTGCGGCATCTAACCACACTTAAGTAGCAGTTTACCTAGACCCCCCAACTACCCTCTACTATACCCCAAATACCCACTATTAGGGACCCATAAGGGCTCTATTAAAGGGCCTTTGGGGGGTCCTGGTAGGAATAGTCCTTCAGGGATTTTGGGGCATGGCTATGGTTGCAGAATGTTGCAGACGACGGGTTGAATTAGAGGTCGGGTAGGGGTCTCTGTTCTATGCATTCTTGTGGGTCGACGCTTTCAACAGGGCGGTAGGGGTCCATGTACCCAAATAGTAAAGGCTTTGGCCTTAATGTAGTCCTTTTTTAAGTAGTTTGGCGCCAAAGTTTGTACTAGTTGGGCACATGGACCCTTAGGGAAGCATAGCGGCATAGCATCCACCACTGCATGCACATGGTCTTTCATTTCTCAAGACGGGCCAAATAAACCCCCGTGATTTTACGAAGAGGTTTTAGGGGGGACGGGCTAAGCAACGTCTTGGCCACGTTGAGATCCGACAACCTCACGGCACGCAACTCCAGCATCTAAGACTACCGGCATAGAAGCTAAAACTCGTAAGACGTAAGCAATATACCCTAAACCCTATACTATAGGCCCAAGACATGAACACGTAAGCAATATACCCTAAACCCTATACTATAGGCCCAAGACATCCCAAGTTGTTGTGAGAAAGAAATCCTGCGGAGCCGGAGTAGAAACAACATGCGGCCATGGAGTGTTATGGACTCCAAACGCACACCCCATTTTGTAAGTACTACGGTTTAGGGTTTAGGGTTTAGGGTTTTGGTTTAGGGTTTAGAGTTTAGGGTTTAGGGTTTAGGGTTAAAGGTTTGTGAGCACTCCGTGCCAAGTAACCTACTGCAGACTCTGATGTGCTAGCGGAATTTTAAATGCCAAGCCCCACAAGAAAGCGTATGTGTTGGAACTTGTGGAAGGCATTTTTGGGTGTCGGTATCTGTTCATATATATATATATATATATACACGACATGCAGAGCCTCGTCCCGAACCAGCAACAAACCGGATGTCTCAAATGTCCCTGTAAAATTTAACCCACAAAGTGCCCAAAACACAAACAACTCAATTCAATGCATACACCCTAAACCCTAATCCCTAAACACCCGCAAAACCTTCCATGATGCCTGTCGGATCGACCTTGGGCTGGTAGTTCTCGCGTCTCTGCAGCTCACCTGACGCCAATTATCGTCGGGACTTTGCCTTAGGGTTTAGAGTTTAGGGATCAACGTTTAAGGGTCCGAACAGGGTGCTAATTACTGGGCGCTACAGGGTCTTAGCAAGCTTTATACGATTCTTCTGGGTTTGGATTTGGCTTTTGAGTCCGCACCGTCCTGGGCCTGAGTAGACACACATAAGCACTACTGTTGACGATATAAATGCTGCATGACCTTAAGGGCCGTAAACGATGATAATTATGGTAGATACTTTTTTGTGGGTAATGCAGGACTTATGCCATCAACCGTATGTAGGCATTCGCACCCATGGCCCATATGGTTCGGGTCGGGCAAATGCTCAGGTGTTTACGGCCTACATCTTCAGCTTTTTTACGGGCCCGCCCTATACACAAAACCTTAACCGAAAAGAGCCCTAAGAGCCCTAAACCCAAAGTCTAAACCCTAAACCCTAAACCCCCGAAGCCCTAAACCCTAACAGCCCTAAGCCCGGTCCAATGCTTACAGGTTTTATCCTAAACCCTAAACCCTAAACCCTAAGACTCCCTGCTGTTGTTGAAAGCATCGGCCTGGGATCATGCTTTAGGGTTTACCTGGACCCTAAAGAACCTTTTAGGGTGATACGGTTGATGGACAAAGTTCTGCATGACCCAAATATAGTATAGTACCATAAATCCCAAAGTTTAGGTATATAAGGTCATGCAGGATTCTGTCCATCAACAGTAGGGTTTGGGTTTGGGGGTGTTCGGGTCTTGGGGTCTTGGGGCCTAGGGTTCAGAATTTAGGCTTTATAGGGTTTACGCCAGCGTGTGTAGGGCCTTCAACTGGTCCCACCAGGCCCTCTGCTCTGGCAACCCACAAACCTTCAGTCTAACTGATGCGTAGTATAGCGGCCTCAATAATTAGAATAGAGTTTTGGGACATATTATACTATAACCATAACAAGGAAACCCCAAAATGGTGTAGGTAATTATGCAGGCCCCTACAGTACACAGCATGCTATGTACCTTTGAGTTGTATGGTTTTCTACGGTTACAAACCCTATACCCTCTAAACTCCTGAATGAAGCCTTTACATAATCCAGAACCATTGGACATAATTTCCCTTAAACCCTAAACCCCTAAAAGCCTAAACCCTACAACCCTACAATCCTAAACTCTAAAACCCTACAAACCCTAAATCCTACAGCCTAAAAGCCTAAACCCTAAACCATAAACCCCTAAACCCTCAAGACACATTGTATGGAAACCTCGAGCCCTGAACCAGGATCCCCCGGACAAAAGTCGGAAGTAGCCTGTAAAGGCCTGGCACGCCGAAACCTCAGAAGTTACGCTGGAGGGTGCCGTAATCCCAACCCTCCAGATACCTACTATGAAGGGCCTTAGGAGCTCGAGTACCCTATATAGTAGATACCTGGGGGGGGGATATGGCAATCTTGTGCTTAAAGTTTGCATATAGCACAGAGCCCTTGATAGATGAAATTCTGTCGCGGGTTGTATTTAGAACTACTTGGTACCTCGCACTTCTACACATAAAGAAGACTCGTAGATAAATGCTAAACCCTAAATCCTGACCCCTAAACCCCAAACCCTCAAACTTGACGCAACCTCTTGGATCTCATGTCTCGGGTTCAGAGCTTTTGACTTCGGGGCTGATCCTAGCCCGAAAAAGGTTAACACTTCCCTAAGGGTCCATGTGGGTAGTTCTCTAAATAAGGGTCCCTTTTAGGGTTTAGGGTTTAGGGTTTTAAGGGTGACGTACTATGTAGGGGACCTAAAAAGGGACCCTAATTTGGAGAACTACCCATGTATCCATTAGGGACTACGTTAAGGTCAAAGTCTTTACTAGTTAGGTACGCGGACCCTTTAGCTTTTCGATACTTTGGGTCCAAAGTACTCCATTAGGGACGACTCTAAGGTCAAAGTATTTACTGTCTAGGTACGCGGACCCTTTGGGTTTTTGATTATAGTAATTAGAGTAGGACTATATAAGCCGCAGAGGTGAAAGGTTACCTACTCAGCCCCTTAGGTTGATGTAGGCCTAGGTTTCAGCTTCAACGTTTCGACATCCGGACGCACAGAATAGGCTTGATGAGTTTGCATCTCATAAGGCTTACTATGGGGGCCTTAATAATTAGAACAGGATTTTGGGGCCCGCTATATTCTCCTTATACTAAGGAACCCCCCGAAATAGAATTAGTAATTACTCAGGCCCCTGTATTATCGCCCGAGACTCGATTCAGCTAGAGATTCGATACACGGAGAGACTCCAGAGTTCCAGAGCCTCGTCACAAGAACTCAAATCATACCGGGGGTTTAGGGTTTAGGGTTTAGGGAAAGGCTCAAGTGATTTCGTTTGGAATCTCTGGAAGGACTGCGTGCAAACTGCGATCTACTGCGAAAACCTGGGATTCGCAACGGTAGGCAATTTTTGTCCTGCCTGGACTAAGATCCGCAGCCACTACCTAGCCCTCCACGTCTTAGCCAAAATACCAAAAACCGAAACCTTTTAATCTGAGCGGGGTAGAGACAAACTACCAACAACATCAGCAGCAAGCATGCGCATAGCAACAAGCAGAAGCGAAACTTTGTTTGATCGCCATCACCATGGTCATCATCTCCGTTGTCATCCCGTTACTTTGGCTTGTGGGAAGGACTGGGCATTGTCGGAGACAAGCATCCCTAAACCCAAAACCCTAAACACCTAAACCCTAAACCCTGGTTTAGGCATCCACCGCGGAGGTGTTGGGGTCCGTATGCTTTAGGGTCGGAGGCTTACGGCCATGACTTTGCAGCTGACTTGTAGGATAGTCCCAGTGTACATATATACACATATATATATATACACATACACACATACATACATACATACATACATACATACATACATACATACATACATACATACATACATTTTATGCATATATACTCATATAAAATTACATATATAAATATAAATATATATATATATATAGATAGATGCGCACAGGTTTGTATACCCTGGACTGATCATAGAGGGACTTAAGGAAGGTTAAAGTTAAGCCGTCATAGCATTCCACTGGCACACCGCTGCGGGCATCAGGCCTGAATCTAGATACCTTCTTCAACTCAACCCATATGGGTGGTTCTCTAAATTAGGGTCCCTTGTTGGGTCTCCAACATAGTACTCCACAAAACAGGACCCTAGCAGGGACGCGAAATCCTGACGCCGCAGGGCCCCAACCCCTAAACCCCAATCCGTATTCCCCCAAACCCCTAGAAACCCTAAATGGCTGTAGCAAAACAGCCCTGCGCCAAGTCACCGCCGTACCTTCCTCACACTGACGAAGCCTCGGGAAAAAGTAGGGCCAAGAGTTTTCCGGTTTAGGGTTTAGGGTTCATCGTTCTGGGTTTAGGGTTCAGGGTTCAGGGTTTCAGGGTTTAGGTTTTCCTGGTTTAGGGTTTCAGGGTTTAGGGCTGAGGGTTTAGGGTTTCAGGGCTTAGGGTTTAGTGTTTTAGGGTTCAGGGTTTCAGGGTTTAGGGTTTAGGTTTTCCTGGTCAGGGTTTAGGGTTGAGGGTTTTATAGTCTAGGGTTTTATGGTTTCATGGCTTAGGGTTTCGGGTAGGTTCCATAAAAGGTCTCCAGACAGGTGACCTATGTCAGGGGTTGAGGTTGAGGGTGTGCGCTGCAAGAGGAGCCATATTAGGTTTTAGGGTTTAAGCGCCGGAAGCTTCAGAGACATAGCAATTCGCTAAGGGCTTGTGGCAGGGTTTGCCTGGCGATCAACAACTGCGGTGCGAAGGGTCGTGTCCTGTAATGTAGGGGCCTTAGTAATTAGAATAGGGTTCTATGGGTGAATAATACTGTAGCTATGATAAGGAAACCCCAAAGTAGTGTAGGTAAAGGTTTCGGCCCCTATAGTAGGCCCTCTCGTCATGGGGAATGGGATTTAAGTCTCTGAAGGGCTTGGGGTTACATACTGCTAGGAGTTAGAGCTCTTGCCAAACACGAAACTCGGATTCCAAGACCATACTTGGAGGTTCATGGGTAGCTATAAGTGCGGTTATAAGTTATAAGTGGGGTAACTATAGCTATAACCCATCTTAGGGGACTTATAAGTATACTTATAACTACCCATGAACGTCCAAACATAAAGAACCCAAAGAATTCAAACGAAAGTTCGGACGGACCCTTCCAAAAAGATTCAGCAAAACTACACTCAGTGCGACCTCGGAGTGTCCACAACGGTGCAAGCATTATCCCTAAATAACCCTAAGGGTCCATGTATCCAAATAGTATATACTTTTAATGTAGTCGCTATATAGGTACTTTGGGGCCAAAGTATATACTATTTGGGTACATGGACCCTTAGGGAAATAGTCTTCTTCGGAGACCTCAAAGCAAACTTCGGGGCTCCAGACCCTAAACCCTAAACCCTAAACCCTAAACCGGAAGACCTTAACCCCTCAGAATCGTAAACTCCACACTCAGCCTACTCCGCAGAACCTTTCAAACGTCACAGAGGAAAGACCTCTACAGAGAGCCCTATAAACCCTAAACCCAAAATCCTTGAATCCTAAACCCTGGAGCCCTCCTAAACCCTGAACCCAAAATCCTTGAGTCCTAAACCCTAGAGCCCACCTAAACCCTAAACCCAAAATCCTTGAATCCTAAACCCTAGAGCCCTCCTAAACCCTCAACCCTAAACCCAAAATCCTTAAACCCTTAAGCCCTACACCCTAAACCCTAAACCCTAAACCCTTAAGCCCTTTAAAAGCCCTCAGTCCACAGCATCCCAGCAACGCGCAGCCGCTCCGGGACCCGGCTGCGGCCGAGCCAGGGCTTAGGCTCACCACCTCGCTGCTCCAAAGGCCGTGGAGGTTACCTCGAGCCATGGTTTCAGGTTGAGGGTCTTAGAGTTTAGGGTTTGGGGTTTAAAGTTTTGGGTTTAGGGTCTACGGATTGGGGTTTGGGGTTTAAAGCTTCAGGTTTGGGGTTTAGGGTCTAGGGTTTGGGTTGAAGGGTTTAGGGTTTATGGTTTAGGATTTCAGGGTTTCAGGGTTTTGGGGTTTAGGTTTAGGGTCTAGGGTTTGGGGTTTAGGGTCTAGGGCTTGGGGTTTAAGGGTTGAAGGGTTTAGGGTTTAGGGTTTTAGGGTTTGGGGATGGGGTTTATGGTTTAGGGTTTGGGGTGTAGGCCTTCCGACACGAGATCTACATTACAACAAGGGTTACTAGGAGGATTGCTAGAAGGGTCTTACAGGAGTTTGGGATTTAGGCGTTTTTCTGTTTTGAATGAGTTGCCTCGAATCTTCTCACACAGGGATATCCATGATTGGAATAGGGCTTTAAGGACGCTTAACCTGTTGGGATGGTCTTGTAACAAGTCCTCGGTGGCCTTTAGAGCCTTAGAGGATCTGTGAAGCCAGGTAGGGTTTGACAAGGGGTGTATTCGGCTTCATATGGGTAGTTGTCTAAATTAGGGTCCCTTTTTAGGGTCCTCACTATAAGGGTGCCGTACTATAATGGGGACCTAAAAACGGACCCTAATTTAGAGAACAACCCATATTTTGTTGTATGACTCTCGAATTGCTTCATGCGGTAAAGGGCTTGTCAGTAAAATTTGTCAGGCTCTTGAGAAGGGGTTCCACACGGGTTTCTAGGGTTTAGGGGGCTCAGAACCTACTGATGTAGGAACCCTAAACTCTGAACCCCTAAACCACTAAACCCTAAACCCTGAAGCCCTAAACTGAATCAGAAACCCCGGCCATGAACTATCTATAATTTATAACCTCAAGATATTAGGGTCCATATGGTTCAGCGCGTTTAAAACTTGAGGCTGAAGGTCGCGGTAACCCCGAAACCTTAAACCCTTAACCCTCAACCCTAAACCCTCAAGCCGAAACCTCCAGACCCCAGAAACCCTAAACTTAAACCCTTAAACCCTAAACCGGAGTCAGGACTGCATACCGTCATGGGTGTCGGAGTTGGGTTCAGGGTTTAGGATTTGGGGTTGCTCAGAAATAGTTGGGGGTTTGTAGTTGGCATGGGAAGGTAGTTTGTGCTGTGACAGGTTTTGTGGGTAACCATTGACACTTTCTAAGGGTTCCGAAGTATGTTTATACTGGACTACCCCCCCCCCCTCACCCCACCTCCCACCCTGCCAAGCAGTGAAAGACACAACAAAATATCCACGGCAGCAATGAATATCAAAACAAGCATCTCTGCTGGTGCTGCCCAAGACCAGCAACTTCAGAATGTTCTTACCCACCCACCCACCCATCCACACACAGATACCCCAAACCCTATTCCCAGAGACTCGAAACCCTCAATTAAGGAATATACCCTCAAGTATAATAGGAACACACCCTAGTATGGGTTAAGGTAGATTCCGTAATTCCCTTATAGATCCCTTTAAGGTAGCCTTTAAGGAACCCTTGTAGGAAGCCTGAAAAGGATATTCCTAAATTAAGGTGGTTTGGGAGTCTCTGGGTTCGAATTACCCTAAACCCCAAAGCCTAAA